CATGTAACATTAGTGCCATCATATTTACATGGACACGAAATAGGAGATGCAGTGTAATTTTTTAAGAAGCAAATTTTACATTATAAGTAATAAACTTTGTTTTGCAAAATCGGCCATAACATATAAAAATGGTTACGAATTAATCAAAACTGTATACGCATTTATCTCAAAAATGCGATTTACTTAACCTACTTTCCTATGTTTGTCAATAGGCGCGAGCACCATTCATATCACAAGTGGGATCCACTCATGGCAACCGCTTCTTTGCGCGCATTACGATAAATCTGTTATTCATACAAACTTATCTACAGAGCACAAAAATATGAAATACGTCACAGGAAGCTTCTGCTCTGATTATCAAGGCCGATTAACGTTAAATTCCCCCTGAATACAACCGTAGAGGCTGAGCTAATTAAATCATTATCGTTTTGTTGTGATGTGGGTGAAGCAAGTTGTAGATTTGCTTCATTCTCGTGTTAACAGAAATTTCCAAAACAAACTGAATAAACCAAAATTATTTTCAAGTGAAAGGTATGAAGCTAGAATGAAGTGAATATTTGTCTATATGAGGCCACATCTAGAGTGTGGTGGATTTAAAAGTGCCTAAAGTTGTGTAATTAATTATATTTTATTCAAGTTTTTGTTTGCTCGCGCGCGAACTGGGGAAACCATGTACTACCATCCCTGCATCTTTCTTCTGCACCTTCTTATCATTTGGCTTCAAAGGATAAGATTCAGTTGTCGTTGCTTTCATACTTGTGTTTTATGTTTCGACTGAGCTTCAATGAAAATGGTAAAAGGAAAGAATAATTCAAAATTACTCAGTTTTACGACTCAACAATGGAACATGAAAAAATCGCTAACGAAAGACTAGTCCACATTACACCAAACTTTGCAGAATTTTTTCTAAGTATTTGTTTTCTCCTGTATAATACCACAGCATAAAAGAAATACCAGAAAGAGATCCTTATTTACCAGTCCAGAAAATAATCTGCTATTAGTTATCTACCTTACCCTTGCAAAAATTAACATACAGATTCCAAAGGATAAAATTTTAACTAACCTATTAAGAAAGCTAAAAAGCATTACCTAAGTCAATGTTCTCAGTTTGCCCCTGAAGAATAAATGTCCACGTTTCGTATCTATGTGTTAAATTGATTTCTTGAACCTAAGCATTTTCCTAAAATCATGACTAAATCAAAGTATGTATTTACAGTGTAATGAACATGCCTTAAACTACTAAACACCTTGTAATTTTAAAGGCTACAGTAAATAAAATAGAACCATATGAAATACGAAATCTATATAAATATAATAGTGTTGTCTGTTGTATGTCCATGTAACTACTTCGCAAGGTGTGGATGGATTTTCATCAAAATTACTATGCAGGTTCATTAGTTCATGCGGGGGTATATACAAAATTTCAGTTTTGCGGTTTACGGTTTTTATGGGTGTTTTTTTCGTTTTTTACCTCTACCTCACCTCCTGGAGATAGATCTTCACCAAATCTGGTATGGAGGTTCACTGGGTCCATGGGGAAATACTTAAAAATTTTTCATTTTTGCGTTTTGCGGTTTTTATGGGCATTTTGTCGTTTTTTTTTAC